TCCGATCTCCCCAAAACCCCAAAACCCCATTTTTGAAATAATACAAATCTGAAATATAATCATAATTAATTTAAAAATCTCACAATTTACAACAAATAGCCACTCCTCTCATTTCATAATTAGTAATATCCTCGTTTATTATCTAAGTATTTTGATCCAAGATCCATCCAAGACTTAATGATGATTGGTAGACCCCACTAGCCATAATGTCTATAGATGAACATAGATTATATCCGTCGTTCCCCTGACATAATCTAGTAAATAGTTTAATAAAAAATATAGTACTTACACTCTTGCCTATACTTTGGTGCAATTAGTACATCCAAATCTTATATCAGCAGGTCTACCTCCAATCTAATACCCTATGGCTATTTAATAATTTCTAAAAGACCTAGCCTCAATTTAATTCATATCAAGGTTAAAATTATAGATCTCAAAATTCCTCAATGCAAATGAGCAGTCTGAATGGGATTATTCATCTTTCATTCCTACTAATAGATTATGCATATTTTATGAGATAGACAAATCATTTATTATCTTCGCTGAATCAAACACTCCATTTATGTATAAAGAGAGCAAGTTCTGATCAAATGTCACAGCTATTGTGTACCATAAATTAGGCTTCACTTTAGAAATCGAATTAATATCAACAGTCAAAACGCCATTTCTGTCTTTCAGAGTCACACTTGCAATAATTTGGTTTGATTGAACATTATAATAAATGGATGGCGTTCTCTCTTGATTAGCTGGTGAATCTCTTCCCTTTTGAACAACTTGACAAATAGAGGGAATATCATTACTTTCCATTAGAGGCTATTAGTCATTTAGGATCATCAAATCGAAGATATATGTAAATTTTCTTAATTCCAAATTCTCTTAAGACTTCAACTCAAGCCATTCTCCTTAATTGAAAATTCCAACCACTTCATCATCGTCCTTTGGGTATTTCTGAAAGTTATCAAAGATAATTTGTGTTTAATATCTTGATTGATCTCTTGTCTAATAAGGTTTATATTCATAAAAACAATACTTCAAATGAGTTTAGATCTATTTTTAGTGATAGCTCTTTTTGTTAAGCAAGAGGTGGGAATAGCAGGCCATCTATACATAAGGCATTTGGCATTGAAAAATCGAAAGGATTAGCCAAGATTTCTAAATCAGCTAAAGAAGCGGTACTGATTTAAACATAATTACATAATATATTACCTTGAGTCAGAAGTCTGAAGAATTTTTACTGCAAGGATTATTTAGTGAAGGATAATTAGAACTATCAGGAACTTTATTTTCATTTTGAGTTAAATTTATATTATTCTTTATTTTTCATAATTATTTAAACATTGAATTTTGAGGGGTTTTGGGGTTTTGGGGTTTTGGGG